CCTTGCTGAGGAAGGTAGTCCTCTGTTCGGCCTGTTTGGTGAGGCTTGTGTGCGTCTGCTGAGTGTTGGCCATGCTGTCTAATAAAAGGCGGCACTCGTCCGGATGCATTTCATTCACATCCTGTAGCTCCACCTCAACTGCCGTCAGACGAGTGTGTAAACGGTCCAACTCGTCCCACACTCGCTGCAAAGGAACAATAAAACACACACTAAATCTTTCATAGCTTTTTTTTTTTTATCTGTGTCTATACTTCACAGTACTTTAAACCCCACAGTGGGATGATACAGGTTTCTTCAGCAGTCAGCTAAATGATAATGTCATGTCTGAGGATAATACCTGCAGTGCATTCACATGACTGTCCAGGCATCTGGCAGTGGTGTATGTGCAGGGTGTCGTAAGCCAAGACTGAGCCTCTGAGATCCAGTTCTGTGACCCCTTCAACATCTCCTCATGCTCCTGCATCCAGTCACGGACCTACATGGAGAAAATTAAATAACACACTTTAGATAACACACAACTGAAGTCATAATTCAGTTATTATTCACTGAAACTCCTGTTTTCCTTTCATTCGACTCTGTCATGTTTAACTTCTTTGCAAAGCATCATGGGAGTCTGAACAGGTGACCTTGCTGAGGAAGGTAGTCCTCTGTTCGGCCTGTTTGGTGAGGCGTGTGTGCGTCTGCTGAGTGTTGGCCATGCTGTCTAATAAAAGGCGGCACTCGTCCGGATGCATTTCATTCACATCCTGTAGCTCCACCTCAACTGCCGTCAGACGAGTGTGTAAACAGTCCAACTCGTCCCACACTCGCTGCAAAGGAACAATAAAACACACACTAAATCTTTCATAGCTTTTTTTTTTTTTTTATCTGTGTCTATATTTCACAGTAGTGTAAAAAACCTCATTTAAAACATTGTTTCACAGAACTTGCACCTACAGGCTTTAAGCAAAGGCAGGTTTATTTTGAGCTTTCAGACAGACAATATTTGTGCTACAGTACATAACAGAACTGCGACTCTGTATGTTAAAAAATAAAGTGATTTATGGATTACATATTGAGTATTTTGTTAAAAAATAGAGTAAATTAATTTAAAGGTGACATATCATGAAAATCGGACTTTTCCAGGTTTTAAGTAGTATAATCAGGTCCCCGGTGCATTTACCAACCAAGGAAGCATGAAAAAGATTAACCCAGACCGACTGTTTTTGTAACTCGTGTGTGTTTTTAACGTAAACTTGTGTGTGAATGAGAACTTAGTTTAGTACTCACATGCTGTGACAGCCGCTTTCTGTCCATGTGCTTCGTATGTGTGCACTCAATAAACTGTATATCAGAAGTTTAAACTAATATGGTTTAAAACGCATGATTTCAGCGTGATAAACATGATAATCAGAACCAAAACAGGTGTTTTTTAGCAGGTACGAGCTGTAATGAAGCAGCTCTATTCTGGAAAAGGGGGCGGGGAGTAGCAGCTCATTTGCATTTAAAGAAAAAGGCCCGAAAAACAGGGTGTTTCTGCTTCCACTCAAAATAGCCATTTTCAAAATGATATAATAAATTATCTGTGAAGTATTTTGAGCTGAAACCTCACAGACACATTCTGGGGACACCAGAGACTTATATTACATATTGTAAAAAGGGGCATAATATGTCTCCTTTAATAGATTAAACAATAAATTAAAAATTAGTTATTGGGTATGTGCATCAAGTGAGCTTTTTCAAACTACTGTATGTGTAAGTACTTCACCTCATTACTCTGTATTTCAGATTGGTTTATTGAGCATCTTCATAAATGCTGATTAGCTCAGCATGCAACACAATAAAAAAAAATAGGCCCAGCACTGACTTGCAGCGTTACGTCTGTTACACTGTAATGTGTTATATGGACACCAATATGAATATACTGCACTTTTACAATACAAAATGTGTGAAACAGATCTTAGACTGAGCTAAACTTATGTCTGACCTTCTGTGTGGTCTCAGCTTCAGTGAAGTTCAGGCTCTTCTGTTCCAACCAGCTCTGAACTGATCCCAGACCTACTTTAATCTCAGAGATTTTAGCACCCAGCCTGTGAAGTGGGCCACTTTTCTCCACAGCTGTCTTCACCTGAGAGTGAGCAAGTGAAATGGACATAAAAACAGACAAGTGTCATTTAAAAAAAATCTACGGAATTACTATTATCACTCTTAATTAACAAACCCACAGGGCTTACCTAACTACTCTGATGTGTGTGTGTGTGTGTGTGTGTGTATATGGATGATGCAACACACCTCTTACACATGTGAATGAGTGTGTGAGTTGAGTATGTGTCTCTGATGCAGGGATCTATCTGTTCTAGAGTGAGATGTTCTCCTTTCTCAGTTCATTAAAGATTAGATAAATAGCAGTGAGTGTGATGTTTAAAATGTGTGAGCGAAGCACATTTATTTGAATTCAGTATTGAGTAAAAGTATTTTATATTCTGGTGCTCTTGTCAGCTCACAATGTCAATATTAAAATAAGAAAAAAATTTGACAAATGTTGCTGATATCTTAATTAAAAGTTCCCAACTCAAAAAGTTATGTTTTGATGAATGTAAAATCTGGGTGCTGAAACAAAATAAGTTGGGAACCATTC